GGAAATTTTATTCAAACGACTCTACTTATTTTTTTAAACGTTCAAGGAGGAATTGCGTAGAGCAATTTTAATAATACGAAAATGTAATAATTTATGGGAACGTTTCTTGCAAATTTCCAAAAAGATACGTGTCTTATTGCTATTCGAATTGCGTGTGAAACATTTTTTTATCGTTTAAACTAACACGGAGAATTAGATGACCTCTTTTAGATAGAAAGTGCAGTATTGATCTTGTTCTCGAAAATTAGTCAGAAACCCTTAATTAGAGCACAATTGTATATATAATTTTATTATATTCGTATACAGTAGAGCGTCAGTTATCCGAACCATCGGTTCGAGGAGTAAACAAACTTATGGTGTAGCGGTACCGATTGACGAGTAAAAAATAAACTCTCTTAATAAACGTATATTGTTACTTCGAAGTATTTTCTTTTTTTTATATTTTCATCAATAAGTCAATTTTAGGCTTCGTTCCTACAAACTGAGCAAGTACATGCATGTATTTCATTAAGTGAACTGTTATCCGAGCAATTCGATTCTCCGAACCACCTCAGTCCCAATTGGTTCAGATAACCGACGCTCTGCTGTGTTCGTAATATCTCTGTTCTTTAAAAAAGGACTTTCCACACACCTTAATCCCTTTCAACTCTCTACTCAACGCTGAATCAACCTCCCGACAAAGATATCCTCTACATTAAACAACCATCAAAAAAATACAAACTGTCAAACAGTTATTACCAGAAACGACATCCTTCTCGTATCAAATACAATCAGATATCCTTGATCTCCCTTCGACTCTCTGCCGGACAACGACAAAAATGCACCAGACCGTTTACAACCCCAACGATAAAAACGAGACGCGATCGTCTCTCCCCCCGAAAAAAGGAAGCGAAGGAACGTTGAAACAGGAAAGCGGAAGAAAGGAGCGACGTGGTGTGTGAGCGGTGAGAAGACGTTATTATTTAGGTCTTTGTGACAATTGGAGCGGCTTATAACACCGAAAACCGACAGAATACCCAGCCGGTTCGGGTCAGTAATTACCGAGTTGGTCAACCTGTTCGATAGTCTACGTTATCTAACGTTTAGCGCCAGATGTCCGTGCGGCGAGTTTCCTTTGTGGTGTGGCGGTGTGGCACGCACACGAAAGACATCGTGGATCGTGTCGGGGTCCGTCGAAGGGTACGCGCGGTACAACGCGAGAGGGTAGGCATTAGGACACGTATATCGTGGGCCAGGGTAATTGTGGCAATGACGACGGAAGTGTCAGATTAGAATCTGAGATGCTCCCGGGAGCACGCGATGCTTGTCCTAACCCCTGAAACTATTAGGCGACCGGCTCGACGGGTGCCCCCTTAAACGTTCTGCCCACCAGTGGTGCTTCCATATCGGTGCCATTCAATAGACACCGGCCGTCGCGTTGTTCCGGGGGAATTGCTTGGATAGGTGATCGATTCTTAGGGTATTGTTCTGCTGGTAATTTTCGACGTTTTGTAGACTTGATACTTGAAATTTTTTTTATTTTCTGAGATTTTCAGTATTTTGTGTTTTGTGATTTTTAGTAGGTACTTAGGTTGATCCGCGATTGTTTCGGTGAACGATTGTGTCCTGATTTCGGAAACTTGCCTAAATTTTGTGTATTTCAGGATCGATCATTTTTTGAGATTTTCAGTATTTTGTGTTTAATGATTTTTAGTAGATACTTGGGTTGATCTTCGATTGCTTCAGCGATGAGTGTGTCTTAGGATGTTGCTTAACTTCCAATTTTGGAAACTTGCCCAAATTTTGTATATTTGATGCTCGGCAATTTTTTTGAGATTTTAAATATCTTATGATTGATAATTTGGGGTAGCTATTTAAGTTAATCTTCGATTGTTTCAGTGAACAGTTGACGTATAATAAGTGTTGTCTGGTATCAAATTCCTTCCACGCCTGTAAAATCGTCCATTTCATAACGCAACAGCCAGCTAATCACAATATCCCGATAACTCGTCCCAAAACGAGTCAAGAATTATTACGACACTCATGCGTAACATGCTTTAGGTAATTCACTAGATAACCAAAGGTATAATTTCCTACCTAGCAGATAACATCTCACAAGTAGCTTTTTTCCAACGTAAACACTTTCCTCCAACCAGAACCTACCGCATCATTCTCATTTACCAAACAAATTAGCATTGATCACTCCAATGAGATCGTTAAACTAACTGCATCGGAAACTATGAAACACGTACGTGAAGGATAATAACCGAATTACCATAATTCATCCATTACGAATATCTCCGTTGCGACTACCTTACCATCGACAGATTCGACAGAATCTTGAAACACAGCAAATCGTAAAACAAGATTAATAAACACTCTAATACTCTTCACGCGTAACCAAACGAATTAACGATCACATTGTAAATCATTCTAATCCTGTGATTCCCATAAAACGAAAAAGAATTCCACAAAGGTGTCATAATCACGAGGATAAATCGAAAGATCGGTCCCAGCCCCCAGCGTGCAGACTGTATAGTTGCTCAAGAAAATTGCCCCCCCTCTCTCTCTCTCTCTCTTTCTATCTCTTCGTGTCGTATCATTCTCGCCGTGTGTCGGGTGGCGTGGCCGCCCCAGAGAAATCGGTGATCTCGAAAATCTGTGTACGGACGAATAACATTTCCATCACGTTAGCATAAAATTATCGTGGGGCCCGGGCGTGTGGGTTCATTAGCAAGTCAAATGAACGGTGGCCAGATTGAGCACCACTGGTGTCTCTCCCTTTGCGATGCAGGGAGAGACCGACCGACCCACCGTCGAAAAGAAACGGGACGCGTCTGCGAGAAGCAGATGAGCCCGCCTCCTCGGTAAACCGGGGCTAAACTGTAATAAAGTGCGGTACGCATTACCCACCTACCTTTGGGACCTTCCTCGTTATCTGATTCACCAGCTCACCGACGTGCTTCACCTGTGAACGACATATGGCCGTTGCCGCTGCTGCCCCTTTCGACGACAGTGTGACCACTTTCGTGTTAATTTGTCGATGAGATAGCGCCCACTCCCGGCCAGGAAAAAATGACCAGGCTAATGATTGGCAACGGCTACCAGCACAGAACCGTTGCAACGTCCTTTGGGGATGTCCAAGTGTTCCTCGATTTTCGGTATTCTTTTCGAGCTGGAGTCTCTGCTGTTTCGTTCGTTTCTTAGGTTTGTTCTGGAGGAGTGATTGTATTGGTATTTGGTGTTTGGGAGAATGGCCACTTTGGGGTTTAATATTTAAGAGAACGGTCACTTTTGTGTTTGATTTTAGGGGATGGGGCAATTTTTGTATTTGAGTTTTAGAGAAATGGTCTGATTGGTGTTTGATATCTAGGGATGTGTTCACTTTGGTATTTAATATCTACGAGAATGGTCACTTTTGTGTTTGATGTTTTGGGGATGGAGCAATTTTTGTGCTTGAGTTTTAGAGAAATGGTCTGATTGGTGTTTGGTATTTAGGGATGTGTTCACTTTGGTATTTAATATCTACGAGAATGGTCACTTTTGTGTTTGATGTTTTGGGGATTGGGCAATTTTTGTGCTTGAGTTTTAGAGAAATGGTCTGATTGGTGTTTGGTATTTAGGGATGTGTTCACTTTGGTATTTAATATCTACGAGAACGGTCACTTTTGTGTTTGATGTTTTGGGGATTGGGCAATTTTTGTGTTTGATTTTTAGAGGAATGGTCGATTTGGTGTTTGGTATTTAGGGAAAAGGTCACGTTAGCATTCGATCTTTAGGGCAATGGTCACTTTAATATTTAATGTTTAGGGGAATGGTCACTTTGGTATTTAATATCTACAGAAACGGTCATTTTGTTATTTCCTATTTGAAGAAGTAGTCACTTTAGTGTTTAATGTTCAGGGAAGTGGTCATTTTGGTATTTGACGTTCAAAGAAATTGTCACTTTGGTATTCGGCATTCGGTAAAATGTTCATTTGATATTTAATATGCAGAGAAATGGTCACTTTGATAATTACCATTTACAGAAATGATCACTTCAGAATTTGAGACATACTTTGCTGTAAAAGAGTGCAATAGAGATCTTTCTTGATATTACAATCACCACCTCTCACCAAATGTACTCCCCAAACGGAAATCCTGCGAAACTACCGTTCCCCGTAACACTTCATAACCACAAATCACGAACTATTTATCCAAAAATCCGTACACTAATGGACAATGCAGAAAAGAAAATCGACTTTCTGAAATTTACATATCACTCTTTTAATTTATGAGGACTAATAAAGATACACTCTTATTACACAAGAGTCCTGATTGGAAAGCAAAGTATAATAAACGTCTACACGTCCCTCTGCTTCGTACGACCTTGCAGGTGTTACATTTACATCTCTTCCTTTCTTTTCTCTTCTTCTTCTTTTCCAGTAAAACATTCTTCATTCGCGAAAAAAAAAAAAAATGGCATATTTAACCGCAAGAATCTTATCTCTATCAGCTGTATCATCGGTAAAAAAAAAAAAAAAAGAAAAGCAACCAGTGTCGAGGTAAAGAGAATCGGGAGAAGGAATGATGAAGGGGTAGTGTCGATATTGAATCGATAACATCGCGTTATATCTCGACAGGTATCGCAAGCAGCGTCGTTTAAGTTTCGGAAATAACCGTGATACAGATCACCCCTTTCTCGCGTAGCATCAGGTGCCACCTCGCGACATTGTATCGTCCTCCGCCACATACTTCTTTCCTTTATTTTATGTTAAATTCCCAAATTTAGCCGCCTTAATTGCCAATTACCACACCGGTGTATCTTTAGACCTTAAGTATGGTCGTTTGCTAAGTTGACAAACTCGATGAAAACATTAACCACAGCGAGGATACCAATTACTTTCGATCACCTTGTTAACTTTTTACGTGAAAACTCGTTAAGAAAGAAATCTGTGTGTCTCGCGTGACCAAAAAAACGAAAATTTCATTTTCTTGCGTTATCGGTTTCAAATGGACGAACATTCTCTACTGTTTTGCAGCAAGTGGCAACACCCACGGTCGTGAAGAAGATCCTACGAATGAAGCAAGATCAACCGACGATGTTCGCGTGGGAAATTCGAGAGCAACTCGCGCGACAAGGCGCTTGCGATCCTCAGAGTTTACCCTCTGTCTCCTCGGTAAATCGGATTCTCCGCGGTGGAGGACTTCACACCGATCACACGGGGATCGAGGGGGGTTCCCCGAGCACCTACGCCTCACAGGTTTCCTCGAACGCCGCAAATAGAGGTGAGAATGCGCTCCGAAATTTAAATATGCAAACAACGAAATTGTTGCAATTTGTTGTATATTATTTTTACCAATGGTTACAGTATGCTTAGATACAATACTTTTACCAACGGTTTTAGTTGTTCAAATACTCGATTTAAGTTTGGGTAGGATTTGGGACATTTTTGATATTTTGTGTATTTCAGACATTTTATGTACTTTGGGCATTTAATTAATTCTACACGCTTCAAATCCTGAGAAAGTGTTCCACTAATTTTTAGAAAAACTCTGTAATAATAATAATAAATCCAGAATAGTTACCTTACTTTAAATAGAAAGAACGTTAAAAAGATGTACTAAAAATGAAATTATTCGGCTACTATTTCCAAATGTAACAAACCGAAGTGATGACATTCGGCCGTCTCTCCCGAAAATACGGAAGGAACGATCCGCGGAACAGGAAATTGGTCCTCCACTTAAACGTTGAAACGACACGTTTCAACATATGTCGCTCCTCGAACATGTTCGACGAACAATGAGACCTTCGCTCGTGTAATTTTTGCATACAGCAAGTCTCGGAAAGCAGCAGTACAATAATGACAGGAAAGTGTCAGCCGAAAATTCGTCGAATTTCCAACGATCCTCTCCCTTCCCGCTTCGAGATCGATTCACGCGACTCTGCACGTCAGAAGTCGGCTCATTATGCGAAGGAAAGCTGCGCTGCGAGTGCGCCATTACCGGCTAATGATCCCCTAAACATCTGTCCGTATCTCGGAATCACTGTTGGAATTTTGTCCATTGTTTTCGTCCCTTTTTACGATTCGGTTCCGCAGGCGAGGAGAGAAAAAAGGAAGGAAGGAAGGAGAGAGAGAGGAACGTTGCAGAGATGCAATAATTGCAGAGAAAAGAAACGACAGGAACGCGGGGAGGAGGAGAGATGGAGAGGAGAGGAAGGATAGAGGAAAGAAAAAGAAGAGGAATTCGTAAAATACCCTGTGGCCGATTGACTCGTCAGCGAGCTGCGGCGAGATCACCGTCACGCAACCCCTTGAAGAGACTCGAAATTTGCCTCGCAATTCACCTCGTTTATTCCGTAAATTGTCTATAACGCCGCTCTCTTTTCTTTCGCTCTTTTTCTTTTTGTTTTCTCACCTTTGACGCGAAGGCTGCGAAATTTGCGTCTGTCAACCGTGGAACGTTCGTTCGAAAATTGATCTGGTTTAGGTAAAGCAAAGAGAGGTAAATAACAGTACGACAGATATGTTTGTTGTTTTTTTTTTTGTAGAAATGAAATCGCAGTATCAAGGTTTTCACGCTGGACAATTTTTAATTAAAAATTTAGCTTAAACTTAGCTTATGTAGTTACAGAGAAAAATAGTTAAGAAGTAGCAACAATGTTAGAATTTGGTAGAGCTACCTTTTGCTACTAACTTACTGTGCATTCTAAACAGTAAAAACACTGCAAGAAAAATTGAAGTGCTCAAGATCTATAAACCAAGAAAACTGTAACAAATGGCGATTTGCACTACCGACACAAAGTAACGTCCATGTCGCAGATAATATTGCCTAAAGTGTCGCCAAGTGTGTATTTGCAATTTGTAAACCTGAACGCGTCGTGAAAGAAGAATAATAAAAATTCGGTACAACTAGATCTTCATCAGCAAAACTTAATCGTTACAACGTGAAGCTGTCGATTTCTTGCAGGTGCCTCTAATAATTCGATCTGCCGCTGTAACAATCAGACAGATGAAAAAATACTCGAGATAAGATTTTTCATTTTTACACGATAGATAAAAGATGTTTCGTCAAACGTTGAAAAAAGAAAAAGTTACTATAGACGATAAAACCGAATCTCCTCTTAATCACTGGACGAAGTGGAAATCTTCTCTTTATCCTTGTTGCTCGCCTAAAGAAGTAGCCACGGCGATCATGCGCGTCGATTTAATTTAAAGTGTCGAGCACGAAGATGTAGACATTAAGATTGCAATAAACCTTGGCTGTTTCGTGTAATATAGGCATTTAAGATAATCGTCGATTCTGTAACGAATAAAAACAACGCGACAGATGATTCTGATTAATACTTATCTTCAGTTTCAGTGAATTTCTCTGTGTGTACAGAGAGAGAGGGACGGGGAAAAATGTTTAAGCCTCGAACGAATTACCATTCGCACTGAAAATACGACATTTACCGTCCTTCTGTATGCTTAATAAAACTTGCATTATTCATGTGTTGCATCGTTCTGTTTTCTTTCTTTCCTCTCTCTCCATATAGACGCGCTCATGAGAACGGATTACCAATTATTTTATCCGGGAACTCTGGGACCACTGCACATTTCCACGACTTCCGGTAATACCAGCGCGCCATCTTGGAATCCGAGCTTCTACTCGTCCCTCTATCAGGCAACAACGCTCCACTTACATCACGGAATGCAGTCGTTCTCGTAAGTTTCGTTTATTTTCTCATCCACTGAAATCGTTCTTCGATTAAATCCCTGAATTAACTGCCGAACGATGAAATGATAACAGAAGTGACGATATTTAACGTCGAGTGAGTAACCGCGGTGATTAGTCAGATTTGTATAGCTTTGCTTTTGTGATAAAATAATAGGAGGTATGTTGTATGTAATATAGATGAACGAATGAACGTTAAATGTCGGATTTTGAATCGTTCGCAAAATTAATCGCTCGAGTTGAAAATTTTAGTTTTTCGTATATTGATTAAAATTCGTGCAATTCTTGGTAAATTACTATTTAAAAATCCGACGCTTAAACGAAAGAAAATTGTAAAAAAGAGGCGAGGGAAGAACGTTCGCAAGGATTTATTACAAGACTTCCTGTAATTAAAACGAAAAGCCAATTCCTCCGAAGTGACAATTCTTCAAGATTTACCGCGAACAGCGAAGCACCCAATTATCTCCGGCGAAGCAATAAAAACACGCGTAAACTAACGATGTAAAACGTCTCTTGCAGGTCGTTAGACGTGGAACGTCTTTCGGAGCAGAGTGGACCAACGAACCAGGTCGACCTGAAGTCCAGCTCGAGCTCGATGGTAGGCAGCGACGATTCCTTGGACAAGAGCGATCTAGACGAGAACACGGAGTCCCAGGACCATTACAAACCGTTCCAAAATTCGCCGATAATCCTGGAGCTTGGCCAGAAGATCGGCAGCGATCGCAGCGCGTTCGTGAGACACAGCACATCCGGTTCCTCCGGAAGTCTCGAGACCAGACAGAGTCCACCGCTTGTGAACGGTGACAAACAGAAGACGTCGTCTCCGCGGATCTTAGAAACGGGAAACGAACAGAGCACAATGGCCAAAGAAGCGGCGGTCGAAGGGAGACCGGCGCAACCTCAGAGGAAGAGAAACCCATATTCGATAGAGGAGCTGTTGAAGAAAGACGAAGGCAAGAGCACCTCGAAGAGGCCGAAATTGACGAACATCGGCGTGGTTCAACCCTGTGGAATCATCCTGAGCAAAGAGATCTGAAGTACTAGACGACGGTACAATAACGATTGAAGAAGAAACAGAAGAAAGCTTCACCGTTTTGGTGATAGAGGCTAAGATGATCGTCTAACGATATTTGGGGAGAATTTTCCATGGAGATTTAGCCAGAGTGTAAACACTGGTAGAGACGAGGATGATGTTACTTTAGAAAGCAAAGAATAGAGGCTAGGAAAGTGGAAGGTGTATTGCTTGAAGAGTTAAATGATCAATTGATCCGGAGAGACGGTGGACCTCGACTGTATGCGTTTATATTTGATATCCGTGGCTCTGTATTTTTTCGAATTTATCGATGCTGAAGAGTAAAATGGTTCGATGATTTTTTTTTTTTGGTAATTTACTGCGACTTCTGAGTCATTTTTTCGACAGAGAAATCGAATATGAGCTTCGACGAGCGATTCAGTATCGGTGTACCGTTTCATACCGTTAGATCTACCTGTGAATTTAGTATTTATTTTCCAGTACCATTTCTGGTGCAAAGAAGTTGCGGTGAATTTTAGATAGAATTATTTATGAAAGAAGAGAATATTCTGGAAGTAATAAAAAATCACGAGTAACAAGGTTTATAGGTGTAAAAAGAATTATTCGTTTTGTTTCCTTAACGTATTTGTTTATTGAACGTAGATATCAATAAGGACGATGAAAATATGGTTCCACTAGAAATATCGAATATAAACTCGCTGATTAGTTTTATTTATTCCACGATAGAATCATTGAGCAGTATTTCCAAATAGGTATATCGAAGAAAATTGGTACACTAGACACTTTGAAACTAGATTAAAAATTATATTTGAAATGTTATATCTTTTCTCGGAAATGTTAGAATTAGTAAATTATAAATCTAATATTTTATTTCATCTTCTTTCCTAAAGTGAAGTTGTTTCATTTTGTTTCCAATCCACCGTTTCACAAATCATTATACAAATTATGAATTATTTAACTCCAAAAGGGGATTTGAAATGTATTCAATAAGTAAAAAGTCGAAAATAATCAAAGTATGACAAAATGAAAATGTAACATCAGTCAGAAAGGTTCTATTTTCGAGGAACCACTTTGTAACAATGTAAAATCACGATTAGTACAGCTTTATCGATGTCCAAAAAATCTCGAAAATTAGAGCAATCGTCGTTGTACTTACCGACACGAAGGAAAGCGTAAATTGTACTATGTAACATTAGTATGAATCGTCGATGATGTATTGTTGACTGCAATATCGTAGGGTACACGTAAGTCTGTTAAGCTAATTTATAATTAAATTATTTTTATTCATTCTTCCGCGTTCGACACCGTCGATGATCACGCCTCTTGAGAGCGAGAGGGATCGTTGAAATATGTGTAACGATGAAATGCGAATAAAACGTATCGATATAGGTGTTTTATGAATTCCAATGATTTCAGCATGATCAGTTTTCTCATCTCCGAATACGAGATTTTTCTGTCGTGTAATTTGTGTGTTGTACAATTTCGTTTTGCAAGCGGGACGATGCCATATTATTATGTACGATATATTTAATTTTAATTTAGTCAAAGAGACTTTGACGTATTCTAATAAAGTGAAGTGGCTAGTAACCTTGACAAAAACGCTTGTTTTTATTCAGTATACTAAACTAAACTGTACCAATCGATAATCACATGAAAACGTTAAAAAAAGAATCACGTGAAATGACATGTAATTTAGAGAGACTACAAATTTATCAATCGATAACTGTTACAATTGACAAACACGTCATATATGATGTGCAGTATTTTTTTTTTTCTCTCATGTGTATCACCGAACATTGTTATTTCTTATATTTAACCATATTTAATCATATTTCTCATATTTCTCGGAAAAAAGAAAATGCTTCAACACGAAAGAAAGCATTCCCTCCGTAAATAAAAAACACGTAAACATTATAATACAATATAAAATCATTTCTGCCGCACCGTAAATCGCAGTAAAATTCACCCAATCAACAAACATCTTCGAATGTTCGATCAATTCAGTTCGAGGGAACTGAACGATTCGAGTGTGATCCATCGACGAGAGGAATCTCGTACCGGCTAACGTCGTAAAGTCAATCCAATCCAGACAAAAAGTCTACGGGACATATTAAAACAAGGGCCAAGCTCGTTAGAAAGTGCGATTAGCCCATAACTCGGGAAGAAAGTATGCCAAGCTCAGCCGATAGAGCAGGGCAATTAAACAGAAGCCTAATAAAGCGATGTTAATAAAGCATGTATCGATAACGTAGAACAGCCGAGTCGCGAGGATGTAGTAAAAGCCATAAACGGTTTGATCCCAGTGTCATACGCAGGCATGCCGCGTGTACACCTTGTAAAATACAGCCCTGATGACGGTGCACGTAAAAAAAAGAAAAAAAAAGGTGGAATTAAATAGCGGATCACGTCTCATGAGCCCAAGCCCACGGATGCACTCTCCCTTTTGCATTTACAACGTTGTAAAACTTTTTATCCGCCTCTTCATCGCGGACTAATTAATGCACTATAAAACGCTAACACCTCGACGTACGTTGATTTATGCGCCTTACTACGGAAGGCACGATTGCACGCAAGGATTCGAGATGCTGTTCAAATCGAATTCTGCTTTTTCGCGAATCGCGCGCGCGACGCAAAGTTGCAAAAGGAGAGATCGCGTTTGCAACTTTGTAGTCGGAAGACGCTCCCGAAAATTGCACAATGTTGCAAACGCGTTCTGGGTTTGCAACTTTGTTGTCGCGAATCGCTCCCGAAAATGGCACATTGTTGCAAACAGGTTCTGGGTTTGCAACTTTGTGGCCGCGAATCGCTCCCGAAAATGGCACATTGTTGCAAACAGGTTCTGGGTTTGCAACTTTGTGGCCGCGAATCGCTCCCGAAAATGGCACATTGTTGCAAACAGGTTCTGGGTTTGCAACTTTGTGGCCGCGAATCGCTCCCGAAAATGGCACATTGTTGCAAACAGGTTCTGGGTTTGCAACTTTGTGGCCGCGAATCGCTCCCGAAAATGGCACATTGTTGCAAACAGGTTCTGGGTTTGCAACTTTGTGGCCGCGAATCGCTCCCGAAAATGGCACATTGTTGCAAACAGGTTCTGGGTTTGCAACTTTGTGGCCGCGAATCGCTCCCGAAAATGGCACATTGTTGCAAACAGGTTCTGGGTTTGCAACTTTGTGGCCGCGAATCGCTCCCGAAAATGGCACATTGTTGCAAACAGGTTCTGGGTTTGCAACTTTGTGGCCGCGAATCGCTCCCGAAAATGGCACATTGTTGCAAACAGGTTCTGGGTTTGCAACTTTGTGGCCGCGAATCGCTCCCGAAAATGGCACATTGTTGCAAACAGGTTCTGGGTTTGCAACTTTGTGGCCGCGAATCGCTCCCGAAAATGGCACATTGTTGCAAACAGGTTCTGGGTTTGCAACTTTGTGGCCGCGAATCGCTCCCGAAAATGGCACATTGTTGCAAACAGGTTCTGGGTTTGCAACTTTGTGGCCGCGAATCGCTCCCGAAAATGGCACATTGTTGCAAACAGGTTCTGGGTTTGCAACTTTGTGGCCGCGAATCGCTCCCGAAAATGGCACATTGTTGCAAACAGGTTCTGGGTTTGCAACTTTGTGGCCGCGAATCGCTCCCGAAAATTGCACAATGTTGCAAACCCAGAACGCGTTTGCAACAATGTGCAATTTTCGGGAGCGATTCGCGGCAACAAAGTTGCAAACCCAGAACGCGTTTGCAACAATGTGCCATTTTCGGGAGCGATTCGCTGCAACAAAGTTGCGCAACGGAGAGATCGGGCTTGCAACTTTATTGCAGAAAGTCGCTCCCGAAAATTGCACATTGTTGCAAACGCGTTCTGGGTTTGCAACTTTGTTGTCGCGAATCGCTCCCGAAAATTGCACATTGTTGCAAAACGGGGCGTCGTGCAACAATGTGCAAATTTTCGCGACAACAAAGTTGCAAACCCAGAACGCGTTTGCAACATTGTGCAATTTTCGGGAGCGACTTTCGACAACAAAGTTGCAAACCCGGTACGCGTTTGCAACTATGTGCAATTTTCGGGAGCGAATAATAATAGCGAAATTAATACGAGTTAACGATGTTACAAGCGAGAATGACGCTTGTAACAATGTTAGATTGAAGCGTAGTGTTTGTAATAATGTTTGCGTTCGAAATAACGCTTCTAATAATGTTGCAATCATAAATAGAGGTTGCAGCAATGTTTGCGTTCAAATATAACGCTTCCAGCAATGTTGCATTCAGAAGTAACGCGTACAACAATGTTTTGCATTCGAAATAGTGCTTCCATCGATGTTGCATTCGAGAATAGAGACTGCAACAATGTGTGCATTCAAGTTTCAATGATGAACAGTGAAATAAAAGTATCTTGCTACTTAAAAATCACCGTTCAACGATATAAAAGTTCTTTTCCTGCTACTGCAACCGTGTCCCACATCTCGATCAATTTGCAACCTCAGCTCACACGGGGGACAATGGCTCCGCGCAAACAAAACGTCATTATACATTCTCAACATATTTCTCCAGCCCTATAAATAACCCCTCTACATACGCAACACGTAAATCCACTCGATACTAAAAATTGGATTCTCTGATGGATTTTAAATGCTTGATTCTCAAGCTAACCAATTTTTAGGTTATAAATGTTTTGGAGAAATTTAAATGTAGGAAATTGTAAGTACATGTATTAGATTAGGGGTAGATTGAATAATTATATTTATCCAGGTTCCTCGTGTAGTTTAAACAATATAGTATTTTCAGCACTATGAAATTGAGCATGTGAAAAGACTTGAGAGAAAGTTAATTTCGCTTAGTATTGAATTTAGTTTGTAAGCAATTATTAATAGGATTGAGTAATGTGTCATGTACTCGTGGATGTAATAAGATTTGAACAAAGTACATAAATAATTTATTAAATAATATATGTAGTATGATATTCTGTACAGTATTATTAAATATAGCGATCAAAATGGCGTAAGCTTTTTATTTAC